GACATGAATATAAGAAGGAGAAAGAGACAAGGCATCTTAAATTTGATCCTGTTCTTTGCTTCATCAGATAAATAGATCTTCACTAGTTTAAGATTTTAAAAATAACTGCAATCATCATAGTTTGTAGTGAAGCAATAAAATTCTCATTGGGTCTTTTCTAATGCTTTAAATTACTGCTAGAAGAGGTACTAGTGGCCATTTTGCATCACATGATACCAATGGAATGCAATTGAACTTTGCAATTATTAATCAAAGGTCAACCGTGTCATACCTCCTCTGGTCTGGACCAGCCAGAATTTTGGGTGTGGCCATGAGCACACAATACATTTTGATGCATTTTATGTCTGTAAATGTCACTAGATTAAAAAGCAACTAAAAATTTTTCTACTACAAAACTACAAAAAGAAGCACAATAACTAAACACACAAAATGTTAATAAATGTACTCTCAATCAGTTGGCACAAGTCCTTAATAAGGAGGAGGATAACCATAACCCTGCTGCTGTGGAGGGTAACCAGGCTGAGCAGGGTATCCCTGTTGTGGTGGATAGCCAGGCTGAGCAGGATATCCCTGCTGAGGTGGATAAGGAGCTTTTTCTGCATCATAACCAGTAGCAGGATAAGCTGCAGGAGGTGGTGGTTGTTGATCATAAGCAGGAGGAGGAGGTGCAGCAAGATTACTAGTATTAGTAGTGGTGGTTGATACAGCAACAACATCAGTTGTAGTAGCTGCTCCAGTAACAACAGTTGCTGTAGTTCTATTACTGCCACGAGCAGCAGCACCAATTCCAACACCCAAACAGCAACATATGCATATTGGTATTGCTACTATAATAGCAATGCATACAACAATTCCTGCAATAACACCTCCAATGATAGCAGCAATGCTGCTAGTAACTATTAAGTACATGATACTTCATGATTACTATTATTCTATTGATATACTAACCTGATGATAAAGAGTCAGCATATTGACAGGTACTCAGTGTATTAGTGGATGAAGTATAGGAACTATCAAATTCTGTGTAAGGAAAATATCATCAAACGAAACTCAGTGACTATAACTTACCACATCCCAAAGCAACATCTTCACTATGAATACAGTTATGATATTGTGAAGAGGGACAAGACTCACAATAGGCAAGACAAGTTGAAGTGCTGCTGGTACAAATGACATTGTCCAACCAAATAGGTTGAGAACTAGACCCAGCACTATAGTATAATGAATAAATGCATAGCATAGATATCCTAATATTTTAACTTTCATAAGCTTTACTAACAGATTTCCAGTATATGTGCTGTAATCACTGTATCCTAACTGACGGCAGGCAACTCTAGCATCAGTTGAGCCAAAGCTATCATCACATACTGTACCCCACTGTCCATTACAATATACTTCCAGTCTACCATAACTTGAATAAGTACCTCCTTGTAGACGAATCTGTCCAGAATAAGGATTATTCCAGATTCTAGTAGTATCTGTGAATAGAATTTTGATTGAATATTGTTATTGCTTGCATGGTATTGACTATACTTACAGCATGATACATATGCATCTTCACTGTCACTGGTGCAAGAGGATTTGATAATTGTTGACAGGCTGCATTGCTGGAGTGTCAAATAGCTACTACTGAAACAGTTCACATCATCAAGGACTGTAGCAGCAGTATCAGTCCCATAGCTACAAAAGTAATGATTATCAATCAAAATATTTACAGATGTGCCTTTTTGGGAAGGAGTAATTGACAAGTTGATCATATGATTGTTTGTACAATAGGTGAGAAAGGAGTACATGTGATTTCAGAGTAATAACTGCTATATCTACTCCTACCCTAACACCTACTATAAGGTTAAGGTGTGAATGCCAATAAATAGTGTGCATATCCACACATAAATACATGTATTGATGTATTGTAATTTAAGGTCACATTACCTTGTTGTGCTACCAGCTCTACCATAGAATGATGCTCCATCATACCCCAACTGGTTACAAATGACACTAGCTTCAGTGCTAGCAAATGAAGTATCATCACAAATATTACCCCATCTGTTTGTACTGGAGGAACTGGTGAAGTAATAGATCTGAACTATTCCAGCTGTATAAGTTGATGAGAAAACTCCACTTCTAACAAGTCGAACAGTTCCACGATCTAAAATTATGTGTTATGTTAGCATTAAAAGTGTTTAAGATAAATACACTATTTTATTGGAGGAGAATTCAGTATCAAGTTCAAAATTGCACTGCAGATGATAGTAGACCCAAAACCAAGTAGTTATAATTCTGAATATGCTCAATCCTCAATCACACCATAGCTCCCAATATAAAATTTACAAACTGCGTTTTTGGATACAACTTGAGTGTGGCAACTTTAGATCAAAAATTTATCATACAACATGCAGGGCTGATTCTAAATGCATTGCCCCTGCATGCATTCATAGTTACTTAAGCTACATTACTACTTACATTGACCGTGAACAGCACAAAACAAAGCCACAAAGAGAGTAAAGATACTAAGATACTTCATAATTAGCTACACCTTGCCCACTGGGACTGTGCCTTGCAGCTAGCTAGCTAAGCTATTATATAGCTGGAGTTTTGGGTGTGGTCATGAGCACACATATGCACTTGGTGCATTTTATGCCTTTAATGTCACTAGATTAAAAAGCAAATAAAAAATTTCCTGCAACAAAACTACAAAAAAAAACTAAAAACACACCAAATGTTAATAAAAGTACTCTCAAACAAGCACTTGACACCGTACTCCATAACATCAGTTAAGGATAAGCTCCAGTAACAACAGTGTTTGTTGTTCTACTACTGCCACGAACAGCAGCACCAATTCCAACACCCAAACAGCAACATATGCATATTGGTATTGCTACTATAAGAGCAATGCATACAACAATTCCTGCAATAACACCTCCAATGATGCCTCCAATGTTAAGGCCACTCCAATTTGATTCCTTGTTTCCCATTACCCGCCCGCATGGGGCCGCATCGCTATTCATTATTGCGGTTTTTCATTGATTATACAAGCAATTTATACAGCTGATAATGAATAAATTTAATGAAAATGAACAAACCCGCCCGCCCGCATCAGGCCCGCCTCTGTAATGGGAAACTATGAATCTTATTGGAGTGGCCTAACTATTAATTATAGGTATTATAATTAATGATTACCATATTTTATTGATAGATTTACCTGATGATAAAGAGTCAGCATATTGACAGGTATTCAATGTATTACTGGATGTAGTTGTAGTATAGGAACTATTAAATTCTGTGTAAGGAAAATATCAAATTTTGTTATCAAACAACATTCAGTGACTATAACTTACCACATCCCAAAGCCACATCTTCACTGTGTCTACAGTTATGATATTGTGAAGAAGAACAAGATTCACAATAGGCAAGACAAGTTGAACTGCTGCTACAAATGACATTGTCCAACCAAATAGGTTGAGAGCTTGACCCAGGACTATATGAATAATGAAAAGTGATAACATGAAACTGTAAACATATTATTGTTCATAAGCAAGTTTACTAACAGGTTTCCAGTATATGTGCTGTAATCACTGTATCCTAACTAACGGCAGGCAACTCTAGCATCAGTTGGACCAAAGCTATCATCACACACTGTACCCCACTGTCCATTACAATATACTTCCAGTCTACCATAACTTGAATAAGTACCTCCTTGTAGACGAATCTGTCCAGAATAAGGATTATTCCAGATTCTAGTAGTATCTATAAAGGGAATTTGGATTGAATATTGTTATTGCTTGCATGGTATTGACTATAGTTACAACATGATACATATGCATCTTCACTGTTACTGGTGCAAGAGGATTTAATACTTGTTGAGAGGCTGCATTGCTCCAGTGTCAAATAGCTACTACTGGCACAGTCAACATCATCAACAATTGTAGCAGCAGCATCAGTTCCATAGCTAGAAAAGAATGTTTATTAATCAAAATAATTTTGCAGATACATGAGTCCTTTTGAGACAACATTGTTTGCATACCTATAAAGAAGTAAGTTTGGGAGTACAGGCATATGTGATTTTAAAACTGCTATATACTCTTAGCATAAGGTTAGGGCGTGAATACCAATAGACAAAGTGCATATACACACATAAATACAGGTATTGATGTATTGTAATTTAATTAAGGTCACATTACCTTGATGTGCTCCCAGCTCTACCATAGGTTGATACTCCATTATACCCCAACTGGTTACAAATGACATTAGCTTCACTGTAACCAAATGAAATATCATCACAAATGTTACCCCAACTGTTACTGAAAGAAATTGAACCATAATAAATCTGAACTATTCCAGCAGAATAAGCTGATGAGAAAGATCCACTTCTAAAAAGTCGAACAGTTCCACGATCTACAATAATAATAAATATTAAATTGCAAAAACACTTAGCCTTAAGCTACACTAATATAAAATTATATTTCTTTCTACATGTATCATCTTCAATAACAAATGACTTGGCAATGTAACAAAAAACATTTCACCTGCAACTTTAGATCAAAAATTCATTGCAAGAAGCTGAAATACATTCCCCTGCATGCTAGCTCCCTTAATACATTTACTACTTACATTGGCCCTGAACAGCACATATCAAAGCCACAAAGAGAGCAAAGATACTGAGCAACTTCATTATCAGCTTGCAATTGCTAGACCACCAACAGCAGCTAAAGCAGAAAGACTGAAAGGCAATAACACATTAAACTATTCATAAGCTACTTATAATTATCATCCCGCCTACTTGTCCACCCAGTTAATGATCAACCCACATGGTATCACATGGCCTAAAGTTATGTATCAGATATTATACATTGTGTATAATATCTAAAAACTAAGAACGCAACCAATAACATCAAGAGTATCTAATAACAATCAATTAAGTTTTCTGTTTCTCACAAACTAATAACACAATTAACTAATAAAATCAACATATCTAATCAAATTCACTCACTAACACTAGATCTAACTGGTCCAGCTATAACAAAAATAATCTGTTTACTAACCAATGCTAAGCAATTAATAATTAAAATATAATTAGTCCTTGTTTTCGTGTATCACTTTTCACTGGTATAAAGTATGTGAATACATATTCTCTTCTTTTCTGGCTGCAACCAATGCAAATACAAATACTGAAACAGCAGCAACATATACCCATGAATATTATAATCCCAAATATAATTCCAATCACTGCATCACTGGTACCACCTAAATAATAATAATCTCATTATTATTTTATTGATATTATTTAATTACTTGATGTAGAGTCAGCATATCGACAGGTGCTCAAGGTATTGGAGGATGTAGTAAAATTAGAATTAAATTCTGTAATAAAATAAATTCTTATAACTCATAATCTGATTTAATTTTAGTACATAATTTACAGCACAATAGCTTACCACATCCCAAGGTCACATCTTCATTGTGTACACAGTTATGATATTGTGTAGCTGGACAAGATTCACAATAAGCAAGACAATTGGATGAACTGGTACACTTATGACCTTGTCAAGCCAAATAGGTTGAGAAACAGTTCCAGGCCTATAATTATAATAAGAGAAACACATGCACATGCATGCATTAATAATACTAACAATCTGGTTGCAGTAACATAGTTACTGTATCCTAACTGACGACAGACAACTCTAGCATCAGTAATGCCAAAACTATCCTCACACACTGTACCCCACTGTCCATTACAATATACTTCCAGTCTACCATAACTTGAATAAGCACCTCCTTGTAGACGAATCTGTCCAGCATAAGGATTATTCCAGATTCTAGTAGTATCTGTGAATAGAATTTTGAGCACTGTGATGCAATATTTGTACTAAATCTACTTACGCTGGCCCAAAGAACAGCACAGCCACCAACTACACAAGAGCTGGAGCCATCTAACTTGGTAGAGAATCAAAAGCTGACCAGATAGACCCATCATACATGCTATGAAATTTGGATTGCAATCTATCATAGCCTATGATAGGTCAATATAAATGCTTTGCTAGCTTAGGCTTGCATGGCCCTTAATGTTTTACATTAAGCATTCGCTTCCTTCCAGTGATGTTCTGCTAAAAAAACTACCACAAAATCAGCACAATAACTAAACACACTAATTGTTATTAAAAGTACTCTCAAGCAGTTGGCACAACTCTGTTATGCGTTTGATACAGTAACAACTTCAGTTTTAGTATCCATGGTGGCTGCTCCAGTAACAACATTCTTTGTTTTATTACCACCACGAGTAGCAGCTTCTATTCCAACACCCAAACAGCAACATATACATATTGGTATTGATATTATGAGGACACAGCATATGACAAAAGCTGCAATCACTCCTCCAATGATAGCTCCAATGTCAATACCTATAAATTAGCATTATATAATAATTACAATATCATTTTATTGATATAATTACGTGAGTCAGCATACTGACAGGTGCTCAGTGTATTACTGGATGCAGTACCATAACCATATCCTGTTTAATGAGAAAAATCAACCTTTTTCATTACCAAACAGCTTTCAGCATTTGTGATGCTATATATATATAACTTACTACATCTTATAATCACATCTTGACTGTGTTCACATCTAGAGCTTTGTGAAGAGGGACACATTTGACAATTAGCAAGACAATTGTATGAACTGAAGCAAAAAACATTGTCCAACCAAATAGGTTGAGAGCTGGACCCGGCACTATAAAGAAGAAATACATGACACTAGTGACAACATGAAACTATTGTGCATGATTAATTTTACTAACAGTATGTTATCAGTGAAATATGAATCGTAATCACTGTATCCTAACTGACGGCAGGCAACTCTAGCATCAGTTGGACCAAAGGTATCATCACATACTGTACCCCACTGTCCATTACAATATACTTCCAGTCTACCATAACTTGAATAATTACCTCCTTGTAGACGAATCTGTCCAGGATAAGGATTATTCCAGATTCTAGTAGTATCTGTAAATAGAATTTTGATTAAATTTAATTCATGCCTGATGGTATAACTTACAGCATGATACATAAACATCTTCACTGTTACTGACACAAGAGGATTTAATAACTGTTGAAAGGCTGCATTGCTGGAGAGTCAAATAGCTACTACTGGCACAGTTCACATCATCAAGGATTGTAGCAGCAGCATCAGTCCCATAGCTAAATGATATTGATATTGAACTAAAATATTTACAGCCTGAAATATGCTTCATCATGCATTGTCTACACAATACATTATAAGTGAGGAAGGATATTGTGCCCTTTGATTATTTACATGTACGATCCTTCAAAAACATGTACTACATGAGAATTATTGATACCAGTACAATGTGCATGCACACAAATCCAGGGCAGATCTAGGATTGAATCTTTGTGTGGGCATTGGTGATGTAAAGCATGCATGCATTGGAAGTCAAATTTTTTTTGCATAGTTATGCTGTACAATTTACATAGTTGTGGCTATTCAGGCAGTCATGGAAGTCATGGCTAGTCATGTCATAGTCATGATTCGCAGTTTACACTGAAAAGTTAATTTTAAATTACTGTACAAAATTTTTGGTGGGCCTGGATGAGTCATTAATCATTGTACTAGATTTTTCAATACTAGTAGAATAGGTTACTAACTCTATTAGGCTACTTAATAGGTTGTACATCAATTCTCAGGGATTACATTTATAGCTAATTGGAACCTGAGGTGAGGGTGAATCCTAAGTACTGTAATCCCAATAAATACAGTGTGTAAAGCTGGGTTCTCAGTATGACGCATTGATTTTCTTGTGCTAGCGTCACGACCGGAAGTGCTGTATAAACCAATGGGAGCATGCATCAATGCGTCAGATTAGAAATGTTTTCTATTCTGACGCATTGACACATGTTCCCATTGGTTTATACAGTACTTCTGGTCGTGATGCTAGAGCACAAAAATCAATGCATCCTATTGAGAACCCGCCTTAAGCGTGTGTCTTATCATTGATCATTGTTTATGCATGGTGAGTAACAGGTATGTGATATAAATACTCCTACCCTAAAACCTACCATAAGGTTAGGGTTTACAAAATGCCAATAGATAAAGTGCATATACACACATCAATACATGTATTGTTGTATTGTAATTTAATTAAGGTCACATTACCTTGTTGTGCTACCAGCTCCACCATAGGTTGATACTCCATTATACCCCAACTGGTTACAAATGACATTAGCTTCAGTGCTAGCAAATGAAGTATCATAACAAATATTGCCCCATCTGCTTGCAGTGGAGGAACTTGAACCATAATAAATCTGAACTATTCCAGATGAATAAGTTGATAGGAAAACTCCATTTCTAATTAGTCGAACAGTTCCACGATCTACAATTATAAATTAAAAACGTTATAATAAATATTGGCAAACAATAAATGGGAAGTTTTGTTTCATTCTGCTGATATTGTGCTCAATGACAAACTTTTTTGTTTAAAACCTCATGTATTTATTGTGCAAACAAATGTAATGTCTATGACTCAAAATTATTATTAATTGTTGAGGCTTGCCTGGCAATGTAGCATATTGACATGTCCTCAGTGTATTGCTGGAAAAAATATAGAAATCATCAAATTCTGTGTAAGGAAAATATCAAAGTTAGTGCTCCATTTTGTAACTTATAACCTACCACATCCTAAAACCACATCTCTATTGTGCCCACAGTTATGATATTGTGTAGCTGGACAAGATTCACAAGTAGCAAGACAATTTGAAGTGCTGCTACAAGTGACATTGTTCAACCAAATAGGTTGAGAACTAGGCCCAGCACTAAATGAAGAAGAATATATGCAACACAAATCAATGACAAGTAATAACATAAAACTATAAACATTAATTATTCATAAGCAGGACTACTAACAAGTTTCCAGACACATATGGGGTGTAATCACTGTATCCTAACTGACGGCAGGCAGCTCTAGCATCAGTTGCATCAAAGCTATCATCACATACTGTACCCCACTGTCCATTACAATATACTTCCAGTCTACCAAAACTTGTATAAGTACCTCCTTGTAGACGAATCTGTCCAGGATAAGGATTTTCCCAGATTCTAGTAGTATCTGTGAAAAGAATTTTGATTAAATTTTATTGTTATGATGTATACTTACAGCATGATACATAGACATCTTCACTGTCACTGATACAAGAGGATTTAATATCTGTTGAAAGGCTGCATTGCTGGAGTGTCAAATAGCTACTACTGAAACAGTCAACATCATCAACAATTGTAGCAGCAGCATCAGTTCCATAGCTAGAAAATGAATAATAATCAATCAGATGTTGTGCCTTTTTGGTATCATTGTTTACATAATATAAGTGAGGAAGGATTAATCACTATTTGATCATTGTTTACCAGAAGAAAGTTGAGAAAGAAGTACCGTAAATCTTCTAAAAATTCAACACTCTAACTTCGTCAAATTAAATATTTTTTCCAAATTTTCACAAAATTACCTCTAATTATTCGATTATGCAAAATTACTGGCTGAGTATTCTAATTTTGACATAATCCTCTTATTTCGGCACATGAATGACCACTTGCTTCAGTCTACCTTACCAAGCAGCTGAGACTTTAGAATGACCCTCCCTCCAATTTAGTCAATAAAAATTATTTAAAAGTAAAAAAAAAAAACATTTTAACCTCTAATTTTTCAATATTACTGATTTTAAGGTGAATTTAATTTGCCGAATTTTTAGAAGATTTATGGTAAGTTTCCTTTTAATCCCAATTAACCAGTTAAACCGTGCAAAGTGCATATACATGTATTGATGCATTGTGATTTAAGGTCACATTACCTTGTTGTGTTACCAGCTCTACCATAGGTTGATACTCCATCATACCCCAACTGGTTACAAATGACATTAGCTTCATTATAATCAAATGAACTATCATCACAAATATTGCCCCAACTGGTCATGTAAGAACCGCTTGGACCGTAATAGATCTGAACTATTCCAGATGAAAAATTCGATAAGGAAACTCCATTTTTAACTAGTCGAACAGTTCCACGATCTACAATTATATGTTACATTAGACATTAAAAGTGTTTAAGATGAGTAGACTATTTAATTATTGGTTATCGGGGGAGAATCAGTATTGCATGCTTGGTAGACTCAAAACCAAATAGTTCATTCTAAATATGCTCAAGCCTCAATGACGCCATGGCTCCCAATACAAAATTTACAAACTGCATGCGTTTTTGGATACAACTTGAGTGTGGCAACCGCTTTAGATCGAAAATTTATACACCACTGGGTTGATCATTCTAAATGCATTGCCCCTGCATGCATTCATGGTTACTTAAGCTACATTTACTACTTACATTGGCCCTGAGCAGAAGAGAACAAAGCCACAAAGAGAGCAAAGATACTAAGATACTTCATAATCAGCTACACCCTGCCGTACAGAGGCAGGTCAAGGTTGAACCTTGAGCAATAATTGTGAAGTTCAATTGCATTCAATTGTATCACGTGATGCAAAATGGCCAAAATTTTCCACTTGTACCACTTCTAACAATAATTTAGAGCATCAGGATAGAGCCAGTGGGACTTTTATTAATTCACTAGAAACTATGATAGCTGCAGTTATTTTTAGCATCATAAACTAGTGAAGATTGATTTATTTGATGAAGTAAAGAAGAGGATCAAAGTTAAGATGCACTGTCTCTTTCTCCTTCTTATATTCATGTCTATAATCAAAAAAGAAATATTCTACCTACAATGGTGACTGTAACAACCACCAAGGCTCGTCATAGATCCCTCTAGTTTCTGCAGTAGAAGCTAGTTTTGTGATACAATCCATTAAAAGCTGCCATTTTTGATCACGTCATACCAATGGAATGCAATTGAACTTTGTATTGCTCAAAGTTCAACAGTGTCCTTGCAGCTATGTAAGCTATTATAATAGCTGGAGTTTTGGGTGTGGTCATGAGCACACATGTACACTTGATGCATCTTATGCTTTTAATGTCACTAGATTAAAAAGCAAATAGCAATTTTCTAGCTACAAAACTATAAAAATTAAGCAGAATAACTAAAATTAGTAAAAACACACTAAATGTTAATAAAAGTACTCTCAAGCAAGCACTTGACACTGTACTCCACAACTTCAGTCAAGGATAAGCTCCAGTAACAAGAGTGTTTGTTGTTCTACTACTGCCACGAGCAGCAGCACCAATTCCAACACCCAAACAGCAACATATGCATATTGGTATTGCTACTATAATAGCAATGCATACAACAATTCCTGCAATAACACCTCCAATGATACCTCTAATGTTAACTATTAATTAGTGATATAATTAATGATTACCATATTTTAATGATGTATACCTGATGATAAAGAGTCAGCATATTGACAGGTACTCAGTGTATTACTGGATGAAGTATAGGAACTATCAAATTCTGTGTAAGGAAAATATCAAATTTTGCTATCAAACATCACTCAGTGACTATAACTTGCCACATCCTAAAGCCACATTTTGACTGTGTCTACAGTTATGATATTGTGTAGCAGGACAAGATTCACAATAGGCAAGACAATTTGAAGTGCTGCTACAAATGACATTGTCCAACCAAATAGGTTGAGAGCTAGACCCAGCACTATAATGAAGAAGAAACATGCTAATTTAAATAATAGCTAAAATACTAACAATGAGCTTCCAGAATGATATGAATAGTAATCACTGTATCCTAACTGACAGCAGGCAACTCTAGCATCAGTTGCATCAAAGCTATCATCACATACTGTACCCCACTGTCCATTACAATATACTTCCAGTCTACCATAACTTGAATAAGCACCTCCTTGTAGACGAATCTGTCCAGAATAAGGATTATTCCAGATTCTAGTAGTATCTGCATGTTAATAAAAAGTTGATGAAATATTATTGTTACCTGATGGACTATTATACTTACAGCATGATACATAGCATCATAACTGTTACTGACACAATAGGATTTAATAACTGTTGAAAGGTTGCACTGCTCAAGTGTCAAATAGCTACTACTGAAACAGTTCACATCATCAACAATTGTAGCAGCAGTATCAGTCCCATAGCTACAAAAGAATGATTATTAATCAAAATATTTTGCAGATACATGTGCCCTTTTGGGACAACATTGTTTGCATAATTATAAATGAAAAAGAAGTAAGTTTTAATTCACTAGTTGATCATTGTTTGTGAGAAGGGAGTACAGGCATATGTGATTTAAAAACTATAACAATAATAATAATAATAATAATAATAATAATAATAATAATAATAATAATAATAATAATAATAATAATAATAATAATAATAATAATAATAATAATAATAATAATAATAATAATAAAAACTGCTATATACTCTTAGCATAAGGTTAGGGTGTGAATGCCAATAGATAAAGTGCATATACACATGTACATAAATACATGTATTGATGTATTGTAATTTAATTAAGACCACATTACCTTGATGTGCTACCAGATCTACCATAGGTTGATACTCCATTATACCCCAACTGGTTACAAATGACATTAGCTTCAGTGCTACCAAATGAAATATCATTGCAAATGTTACCCCATCTGTTACTGGAGAAACTTGAACCGTAATAGATCTCAACTATTCCAGCTGTATAGGATGATGAGAAAACTCCATTTCTAACAAGTCGAACAGTTCCACGATCTACAATTATAAAAAAGTGTTACGGCAATTATTAAGTTGGGTAAAAATTGTAAAACTAACACTATAGCCTTATGGCAAGAGTAAATAATGGGGTGGCTAATATCAATTTTGATTTCATTCTGGACATATTATCACAGTGCTCAATCACATGCAAACGGTTCCAATGTAAAATTTACTGATCAAAAACAATTGATTTGCCCCTGCAAGGTTCCCCTAGATACATTTAGCTATTATACTTACATTGGCCCTCAACAGCACATATCAAAGCCACAAAGAGAGCAAAGATACTAAGCAACTTCATAATCAGATTGCAACTGCTAGACCACCAACAGCAGCTATACCTAAAGCAGAAAAACTAAAAGATAATAATACTTTAACTATATATTTATAATAAAACTTCCTATTAACACCCCACCTACCAGTCTAATTAATAATAGATCTAACCCACCCACGTGGCATCACATGGTTCCATGAGAGTCATGGAAGTACATCAATTGATGTAAATAATTTTTTAAATACAGATCTCTTAAAACTAATAAAAATTTACACAAATAATGATAATGATAATTATGAAGAAATAAATGTACAAAAATTATCATAATACGAAGAATAAGTACATGTGTATATGTATATACAATATCCACTCAACACAACTGGCAAAGCTATTGGGAATGGTCCTGCTGAGGACTTTTCTCTACATCATAACCAGTAGCAGGATAAGCTACTGCTGGTGGTGGTTTTTGATCATAAGCAGGAGGTGGTACAGCAACATTTGTAGAGGTCCTTCTATTGCTGCCACGAACAGCAGCACCAATTCCAACACCCAAACAGCAACATATGCATATTGGTATTGCTACTATAAGAGCAATGCATACAAAAATTCCTGCAATAACACCTCCAATGATAGCTCCAATGCTGTTAAAAACTATAGGCTTTAAATAATCATATTTTATATTTTATTAATATTCACTTGATGTTATTATGGACGCCTCAGTATCAGCAAATTGACAAGTACTCAATGTATTAGAGGATGGCGTAAAAGTACTTTTAAATTCTATTAAGGAAAATATTAAATATTCATTATAAATGTTGTCAAACAAGTTTCAGGAAAATATAAAAGCCAAGTGTCTATTTCCTGGTTTTCATGCATACTGGAAATTATCAAACTTTTAAAACTCTGACCAGCATTTCTTTGACCCAATACAACATATAATTGCTGTATAACCTACCACATCCCAAAGCCACATCTTCACTGTGTCTACAGTTATGATACTGTGTAGCTGGACAAGACTCACAATAGGCAAGACAATTTGAACTGCTACTACAAATGACATTGTCCAACCAAATAGGTTGAGAGCTAGACCCAGCACTACAGTATAATGAATAATTGCATAGCATAGATATCCTAATATTTTACAGGTTTCCAGTATATGTGCTGTAATCACTGTATCCTAACTGACGGCAGGCAACTCTAGCATCAGTTGCACCAAAGCTATGATCACATACTGTACCCCACTGTCCATTACAATATACTTCCAGTCTACCATAACTTGAATAAGTACCTCCTACTAGACGAATCTGTCCAGAATAAGGATTATTCCAGATTCTAGTAGTATCTGTGAAGAGTATAATTGTGCATATATCGGTATCTTATAAGCAAATGTCATATGTGTATACTTTGTGACTAAAATGTTTTTTATTTACTTCACACTTACAGCATGATACATATACATCTTCACTGTCACTGGTACAGGAACTTGAGATGTTTGTTGTCACATTGCATTGCTCAAGTGTCAAATAGCTACTCTCAGCACAATTAATGCCAGCAAGAATTGTAGCAGTTCTATCAGTTCCATAGCTACAAAAGTATTCTTATTTGTATGATAGATCAATAATGTGTTTGCTTGATCGGGTGCATGTAATAACATTTTCAAATGATTATCCACATACCTTGACGTGTTCCCAGTTCTACCATAACCTGATGCTCCATTATACCCCAACTGGTTACAAATGACACTAGCTTCAGTGCTACCAAATGAACTATCAAAACAAATATTGCCCCATCTGAGTGTACTGGAGGAACTGCTAAAGTAGTAGATCTGAACTATTCCAGCTGAATAAGATGATGAGAAAGGTCCACTTCTAACAAGTTGAACAGTTCCACGATCTACATTATTACAGAATTTTAGATGCTGCAGGGCTTGCATGATGAATTAAAACTAATAAATTTCACATTTGTACTTACACTGACCCTGAACAGCACAGAGTAAAGCCGCAATAAGAGCAAACGTGTTAAGCAGCTTCATAGTCAACTTACAATTGTATAAGCTACACAGGAAACCAGTTTATTTTTATAGCTAATAGCCAGCCCAGATCCGCCCACGTGGTATCACATGGCCCTATTCTTCCTTCATTTCTTGATTCTTTTATTCTCGTCTGACGTTTCCTCTCTTCTCTCCTGCTTTACTGATCACTGCCCAGGAGACAATACTAGCCTATGCTTGACGATATGTCCACGCACGTATCAAGCTTGCTTTAGGAACACCACCTTCCCTCCCTCCCTCCATTTTGAAAGGCTACCTAGACTGGGTTGCAGTAGACTGGATTGTAGGATCAGTTGTGATTACGAGGAGTATGACAGTGATGAGGGCGGGGAGTATTGCTGCTGTACTTCTAATTATTGTAACGAAGAGACTGCACTAGCTCATCTCATTAAACCTAAATTTAATTATCACCTACCCCCTCTGGATCGGGCATCAGTACCGAAGTCAGGTATTAATAAATAATTAATGATGGAATAAAACTTAATAATTATCAGTTATGTTAAAGGTATGGCTTTCACCGTTATAATAACGATGCATTTTGGCATTTAATTATAAATAGCTGAAATCATAAAAGTTTAAATTTTAGGCCACAAAAGTTAATGTAATGGAAGTAAGGAGCAGTGACTGAGCATAACCAAAATATTTATGTATCAAAATTAGTCTTGCCATGCATGGCTCTGCACTACCAGGTAGTGATGTGACGAGACTAGAACCAATTGAACGAGTTAAAGATAACCTTTGTAAGGACATGCAACATTGGGTCCACACTACCTGTCCTTAATATAGAGGTATTAACGATTGTCATTTAATTTAAACAAATCTTTATGTTTGACATTTAATAGTATGATAATATAGATATTTTAATATATATTGTTTATTTTACTCACAGATAAACTCATGTGTGAATTTTATGACTGTACCACAGAGAAGGATGGTAACTGCATTCATCAATACAAAACATGTCTTGACTGCCCGATTGGCTATACCTGTACCTGCCAGACAGTTTATAAAGCCAACAGGACAGCTAACAAACTCTACCTTTACTCCAAAGGATGTGCTGTCATAGCAACTGCTAATAAAAATGATTTTAGAATTAGTCCAGAGTGTTTTATTAATGTTAGTTATGCTGGGCCACTGTTTGATGAATATGTGTGTTACTGTGACAGGACTATGTGTAATGTGAATGAGACAGTACTGCATCCTACAAGATTGATGTCTTATGGTAAGCATGGGAATTAGAGTATGGGAATGAAAGTATGGGAATGAGAGTTGAAGAAATATAGGAATGAGAGTTAAAGGAATGGGGGAGTTAGAGTTAATTTGAAGGACTAAGAAGGAGAGTTTTAAAATATTAAGGCATGGGAATGAGGATTTTGAAGAATGGGAATGAGGTTTGATTTGAATGAATAAGAATGAGAGTATGAATTATCAAAGAACGGGAATGAGAATACTAATAATTCTTCCTTTGCCTACATTAGGTGTGAGAGAGTGTATTGAGCGTGGTTGTGAATATTCTTGTCAAGTTATCAAGAACAGGCTATGGTGCTTATGCCCTCCAGGATTGAGAACGACTTTTGGATTGTACTGTTATGGTAAAAAAAAAGATTATTAGACTATGTTTCATGCAAGTTCTGGTCAGTGGATTTCAAATTTGTTCAAAATACAATATACTATCAGAATATTTTGAGCTGATTCCATTCAAAATTAGATTTTTAATGAATTTTTAAAGTTACTCAAAATTTGGGTGAAAGTCCCTGTACTATAGTACAGGGTCACGGGCCAAATTTCGCCAAAAATGACTAGGAGAGAATTCTTCATTTTAATAATTTTTTCTGATGTATATACATGTTTTTATATTGTATTTTAAGTTTGAGCTGATTCCGATCAAAATTAGATTTTTTATGAATTTTCAAAGTTACTCAAAAATTGGGCGAAAGTCCCTGTGCTATAGTACAGGGTGACAGGCCAAATTTCACCAAAAATGACTAGGAGAGAATTCTTCATTTTTATGATTTTTTCTGATACATATACATGTTCTTATATTGTATTTCAAGTTTGAGCTGATTCCGATCAAAATTAGATTTTTTATGAATTTTTAAAGTCACTAAAAAATTGGGCCAAAGTACCTGTACTATAGTACAGGGTCACGGGCCAAATTTCGCCAAAAATGACTAGGAGAGAATACTTCATTTTTATGATTTTTTCTGATACATATACATGTTCTTATATTGTATTTCAAGTTTGAGCTGATTCCGATCAAAATTAGATTTTTTATGAATTTTTAAAGTCACTAAAAAATTGGGCCAAAGTACCTGTACTATAGTACAGGGACTTTGGCCAAGTTTTGTCAAAAATGAAAACACACACATTTTGAATTTCATGAATCACTTGCTACATTTAAACTAATTTTTTTACATAATTATTATTAAAAGTGTTAATGTATTTTCTTTTATTATTTTACATTAGATGTTAATGAATGTATAGTAGCTAATGGTGGCTGTGATCACTTATGTATCAACACAAGAGGCAGTTATCATTGTGAGTGTTACAATGGCTACATACTTGACACCGCCTCAAGGAAATGCATTAGTGAGTTTAAAATAATTATTCTAATTATAGACATGTAGGTACATGTATGTGAGTAAAAATAACTATTTTTATTTGTATTATCATAAAAATGGCTGCAATCTTGAAAAACCAACCTCAATTCATACAGACACCATGCACCTATATAATAATTACTGTGTAAACAGCATTGGTATAGGCATCTACAGTAGTTAAGCATATCATATTTTTGTCTTATTCAAATTTTTACTTTTTTATGTCTAAATTAGGGACTTCTAGTGCATTCTATTGCTCGTCTTACTACAGTATTGATATACCAATTAAAAACATTACTAAGAGTGATATTGGAAGGGAGCCTTGTGTAAGCGGATAATGATAGTATAACAATCTTTATTTGCTTTTTATTTGTTATTATTATTATTATTTATTATTATTATTATTATTATTTATTATTATTATTATTATTATTTATTATTATTATTATTATTATTTATTTATTATTAGGTAACAGGATCATGTTATGCTCAGTACAGATATGATGATGAGGAGAAGAACTGGTACCTCTCTGCACTGACGTGTGGTCGCTTTCCAAGTATTGTATTTACTTTTCGCTGAGTGTTTTATAACATTATTATTTATTTTCTGATAGCGAGTTCTACTGATACTCTACCATCTTGTTCTAATCCTCAATGTGAGCTCAAGGAACTTGAGCAGATTCCGAACATGTATCACTGTTGCTGCAGTAGTCTCAATTGTAACAACATTTCCCTGATTCACTTTATGACCAGTTCTACTAGCACTAGTACAACGGCTACTGTACCTACATTAACAATCACTGGTAAATTGGTAATGCAATAAAAAATAATGAAATTAGACATTAATTACTAGTATAATGATTAATGAGGTGTTATTTCTCAAGGGATCTACTGTATTCTTTATCTATTTTTGTTGTTCATATCCTTTTAATTAATTCACAATTTAAACTATATGCATCTCTTTTTATTATTAGGTACTTCTGATGCTATTGGTATAATTGGGTTTTGGACAGTTATTGTTGTCTTTGTTTTACTATTGATAGTCTGTAGTTTGTTCCTAGTAATGACCACAGCGCTCATCATAAAATGGAAGAGAAACATGAGGACCCAACCTCCTACCAATAACCTACAAATGTCAACCTTACCAGACAGAAATAATAAACTTGATTAATAACTAAAATCTAATAATGGAAACACTGTTTCTACATGAAATATATTTTAATGATCAAGTTGTGTAGTATTTGTTTAATTTTAAAGCCATATATCAGAGGTGCAGTCTCCGCCCGGGTATCGGACCTCATGAGCCAATGACGGTCCGTCAGGCTCCTGTCCAAAATCAACAAAGAAGTTCTTGTTCAAAGTGAGTCCTCCTTTATCAGTATCAACATCAATCTGGAGCAACATTGAGCCATTCCTGTATATTATAAGAGTGTGAATCAGTGTCTGAAGTTTTGTATGGTAAGTCAAAGTACATATAAATCATTATATAAATATCCTCTATTTAATTTTTGTTGACTTACCCATAATAATAATACTGGTATACATGTATTACATAATAGGCATGTAGCAAAAAATATAAAAATGGAAAATTCTTCTCTAGCCATTTTTTGAACATCTTACATAAAAATTGCATGTTTCATTAGTTGTGTGGGTGTCTTGACCACTTGATGCATTGGGTTTTTGCATAAGATATAAATCACTCTCCCTCTCCTTCCTCTCTATTACTTGGCTAGGCTAGGGTGGAACTGATTATCCCAAATACTAAACAATTAATGATGTATTAATTGTGGGGTCATCAAAATAGATCTATGCATGACAGTCTGATGTATCAGGTAACAATAATAACATATGATGAAGAAGAGTACTGAAGAGTAGGGGCATCCACTTGTTGTATTTTGAATAAGTAGATCTAATCATACTAAGAACACAACTAAAAAATAGCAAAAGAGAAGTGCATACTCACACACTGGCTTATGACAAAAATAAATTTATCTATAGCTAGCTATACTAAACAATAATAAGCCATTTAGAGTAATTTTAATCAGTTACTGAAGGTTTCTCATCAGACTTTTTTATACCATAATAACAACAACAGCAACAGCAGCAACAGCATATGCAAATTAATATTAGCACTCCAAAAACAACACCTCCAATGATATAACGAGTGTTACTCTCTAAATATATAGTATTATTATCATCATTGTACTAGTTTATTGACACTTACCTGGTATAAAGTTAGCATAACGACAAGTACTTAGTGTATTAGAGGATGCAGTTAGAGTACTCTCAAATTCTGTAGCAAAAAGATAATTATAGATCTACATGTAGTATATGTTGATTTTAAAGTTGTAATGTGCATAAAATAGCTTACCGCATCCCAAGGCCACATCTTGACTATGTCTACACGTATATTCTAAAGTGGGACAAGATGCACAATTGGCAAGACAATCAAATGAACTGCTGCTACAATCGACATCTTTTAACCATATAGGTTGAGAACTATACCCAGCACTATTAAAGATAAAAATTGAATTGTTAATTTAGATTCACCAAAAATTGATTCATTATTACAGTGTCAACAATTAATAATATGCATGCATGTTATTAAGATTATGAACACTATAGATTTAGATCTACTAACAGGTTTCCAGTATATGTGCTGTAATCACTGTATCCTAACTGACGGCAGGCAACTCTAGCATCAATGTAACCAAAGCTATCATCACATACTGTACCCCACTGTTCATTACAATATATTTCCAGTCTACCATAACTTGAATAAGTACCTCCTACTAGACGAATCTGTCCAGAATAAGGTCTGTCCCAAATTCTTGATGTATCTGTGAAGTGGATGTTATAAATAATAGTACCTTAACAATTTTATTGAAAAATTAATAATGCAGGTGAAAGGCTATTTATTAGTTCATGACTGCATGAACTTTTAAATTTTATCATTTGTATTTGTTCTATTATGTTACTTACAGCATGATACATATACATCTTCACTGTTACTGGTGCAGGAACTTGAGATAATTCTTGAAAAGCTGCATTGCTCCAGTGTTAAATAGCTACTACTACCACAATTAACATCAGCAAGAATTGTAGCAGCTGTATCAGTTCCATATAAGCTACAAAGTCAGAATCAATGAGGAATTGAATTAAGAAATACTCTCTAACTTCTCAACCCCTGGATATGGGGTCAGAACTCTCCCACTGCATATAAAACTAACAACAACTTTACACTTCAGTTAGTTGCCTTTTAAAATATACTTTGAGCCCACACTTTTATATTCAGACTATCTGCAGTTAGCTCAGCACATGCATGGAGTACACAAAATGCAAAAAATTATATATAGAAGTGACTGAGCTGCATGCACGCATGTTGTGTATTGTAATTTTAATAGAATTTTTGTGTGCATTCTACCTTATTGCATCACCAGCTCTACCATAACCTGATGCTCCACTATATCCCAACTGATGACAAATGACACTAGCTTCAGTGCTATCAAATGTACTAATATCATAACAAATATTGCCCCATCTGTTTGAACTGGAGGAACTGGTAAAGTAATAGATCTGAACTATCCCAGATGAATAAGATGATAATGGAACTCCATTTACAACTAGTTGAACAGTCCCACGAGCTAAAACTATAGATAGAGAGATGCATTTAATAAGCTAACTGCTGTTCATTAATAATTTCAGTTTCATAGTTTACTACTTACATTGGCTGTGAACAGCACAGAATAAAGCCACAAAAAGAGAAAAGATACTAAGCAACTTCATATCAGCATTCAGTAGTATCAGTGGAGCTCAGTAGTTTTCCTAGCTTGAGTCTTGTGCCTTGGCTGATTGCAGATTAGTTTTATTCTTGGTTAGACTACACTCTTATAAAAATTAAGCAGTCTTAATAATTCCTGGAAATGCTTTGATTATTAGTTTACCAGAACTTATCACTTATGTATACTGTTCTAATTCCAAGAAACTCTAACACTCCCACTTATGTCACATCACATGCATGGCATGTGTAATGCATGCATGGTTGGCCAGCCTATATTTATGGTCTGACTATTGATCTATGGTCAGACCATAGACACTAGATGTATGTAGCATCTATAGTCAGACTAGTGACTTGGTGAAGTCTAGGCTCAGAATATTTGGGGTAAATTTTTTAGATACATGCATGCGTTATGCTTTACAATACATTGTGGCATCAAATACATCTTGTAGACTATGTGCAGAAGTTTGTGTCATAAAAATGTTATAGCTAGTACTTTAAGTTACAACCAATTGTGCATTGCTTTGGTGATATATACATCATTTTGGGAGTTCATGCTATATGTCCCTAGTCTCAGGTGTTGCAGGGCCAGACTCCACCCTTTTTTGAAAGGGTAGAGTCTGGCCCCACGAAACTAATATGTGCCATAGTTCAGACCCCTTATTATTGGGAGAACAATTGTATCCCATGCCATATAGCTACTGCTTATTACACTGTGTACCATAAATACTACAAACAACTATAAACAACACCATCGTAACTATTATTTGTTTGAGATTTGTTTGTTTTCAAAATCATCACTAGAAACAACCATGCACAATTATCAATGATTACAAAACAATTTATCATAATGACACTAGCTAGTCTAGATCTAAAAAAATTCAATTTTATTATTATAGAATTAGTTCTGTCATTAGCAGCAGTCATCAGTTTTGCAGCAGTATATGAGGCAAAATAAAAATATGACACCAAAAATAAAAAAAAGTGCTGAGAAAACACTTCCAACAGTAACACCAGTTTTATTGCTACCACCAGAACTAGGTCTAGCTACAAAATAAATTTGTTATTAAATAAATTTATTTAAAAAGTGTATTTTACTTGGTCTTGACGTTGGTGGATCATTATTACAGGTTCTTAAAGTATTAGTGGATGAAGAATAAGAAGAATTAAATTCTGAAAATTATAAAAATTAACGATATAATATTCTAGATATTCTTTTTATTATTATACACTTCATAGTAAGTCAGTATCAGCAATGTACTTACCACATCCCAAAGCCACATCTTGACTGTGTGAGCAGTTGTGATATTGTGAAGAAGGACAAGATTCACAAGAAGAAAGACAATTAGATGAACTGCTGCAAGAAACCCTGTCCAGCCAAATAGGTTGAGAGCTAGACCCAGCACTAGAAACACAAAAGAATTGAACAGATAATCAATTACTAATAAAAAAATGGGTAATTGTCATCATAGCTTTTCACTAACAGAGTTTTATATGTATTGTAATTGCTATATCCTAATTGATGGCAGGTAGCTCTAGCATCAGTTGCATCAAAAGTATTGTTACATACTGTACCCCACTGTCCATTACAATATACTTCCAGTCTACCATAACTTGAATAAATACCTCCTCGCAAACGAATCTGCCCAGAATAAGGACTGCTCCAGATTCTTGTTGTAACTAGAATGATATGTATTAATTAGTCTTGCCACACCACTTGCAATTCACTCTGTTGCTACTTACTGCATGATACATATACATCTTCAGTGTCACTGGTGCAGGTACTTGAGATGGATGTTGAAAAGCTGCATTGCTCAAGTGTCAAATAGCTAGTACTAGCACAATTCACTCTGTTAAGAATTGTAGCAGTTCCATCATATCCAAACCTATATACAAAATAAATGTAATGATAAATAACACAGAATAAAGTCATGAAGGCATTTATAGATTTATTGATGCATAGAATTACCTTTCTCCACCTTTACCAAAGGTTGATATTCCAGTATACCCTAACTGATGACAAATTATACTAGCTCCTGAATAACCAAATGAACTATCATAACAAATATTTCCCCATCTGAGTATACTGGAGGTACTGGTAAAATAATAGATCTGAACTATTCCAGATGTATAAGATGACGAGAAGCCTCCATTTCTAACAAGGCGAATTGTTCCACGAGCTAAAATTTAACCAGGAGCATAAAAGATAAAAATATAATATCCTCTTATGCTTACTTTGGGCCTGAACAGCACAGAATAAAGCCAAACAGAGAAAGAAGATACTAAGCAACTTCATAATTAGCTTTCACCGCAAGAGAAGCAGATTATAGAGACTGTCTCAGAAATTGTACTTTTATAAGACATAGATCTAGTTAGCTGAAGTGAAGAATTGGCATCAACCAGACTTCTAAGAACTGAGCAGACAAACAATTCCTAGAAATATTTTGATAAAACTGCTAAGTTTATAGCTTAATTATTACTATTCCAAGAAAGAACTATAATAACTGTTGATTTAAAGGCACTTATACCATGGTGCGTGGGTGGCTAGTCTACCATGGAAACCTTTGATGTTTAGCGGGAGTTATATGCCCATAACCACCCTGGAATTTGACAGTTTACATAAGAACAATACTGCAATGAAGAGAGTAGGGTTTCACAGTTTACATAAGAACAATACTGCAATACTTTACCATGGCATAAGTCAGATACATCCCTGTCAGGAGGGGGTTATGGGTACATAACCACCTCCAGACAGGGATGTATCCTACACATATCTACAGTTTACATAACTTAAGTGCCTTAGCACTGAACAATTATGCTGTTTTTCCTATACTCTAAATAACTATGTATGACAACCTGATGTATCAGGTAATAATAGGAAGTACATGATGAAGAATAGTACTGAAAAGTAGGGGCATTAACTTGTTGATGCCCATGCTCTTCAGTACTATACTTTATGTTGCTTTTATGTGATGACCGTGCATGGTTATAAGTATATTTAGATGACCCCACTGTAACAACATCATCGTTAAGTTAAATGCTGTTCATTAACAATTTTAGTGTAATAGTTTACTACTTACATTGGCTGTGAACAGCACTGAATAAAGCCACAAAGAGAAAAGGTACTAAGAAACTTTGTATCAGCATTCCGTTGTGTAAGTAGCATCAGTGGAGCTCAGTAGTTTTCCTAGCCTGAGTACTGTGCTTCTGATTGAAAAACTTTGATTATTAGTTTACCAGAACTTATCACTTATGTATACTGTTCTAATCCCAAGAAATTCTAACACTCCCACTTATGTCACATCACATGCATGGCATGTGGCTTGTTGGTCAGACCATAGATCTATGGTCTGACCATAAACACTGCATGTACAAAATATTTATGGTTGAACTATTTTTTATAGTGAGTTGGTAGAGCCTAGGCTTGGATTAATCAATATGGGGTAATTTTTAGATACATGCACAATGCATGCATGTGTCATAAGAGTATGTTGTAGTACATGATATACACTCCTAAAATAATGCGCATCACCAAAACAATGCATAATTGGTTGTGAGAAATATGTGCCACAGTTCAGTGATGATCCACCCAATTACAATTATTGGCAGCCCATGCACTGTGCCATAAATACTAAACAACACTATCATGGCTTCTCGGCTACATGTCCATCAATAATTTTTTGTTTTTGTCCTTGCTATAACTGTAAAGAATTTAACAGATAATAATGCTAGATCTTATTAGTTTTAGATGTTTGTTTATCAATAATCAATAATTATACGAAACAATTCATCATATTAATGTCGCTAACTAGCTAGTCTAGATTTTTAAAATTTCAATTTTATTATTATAGAATTTAGTTCAGTCATTTGCACCAGTCTTCAGTATTACAGCAGCAGCACCAACAACATATGCATACTATGATACCTAAAATACCAAAAATCGTTGCAAAAACACTTCCAACAGTAACACCAGTTTCATTGCTACCTCCAGAACTAGGTCTAGCTGCAAAACAATTTTTTTGTTAAATAAAATTATTAAAAAATTCATTTACTTGGTCTTGATGTTGGCGGATCAATTTTACAGGTTTTTAAGGTATTAGTGGATGAAAAATAAGAAGAATTAAATTCTGGGAAATAATTTTAAGTCATATCAGCAAGAATAAATTAATATATACTTACGACATCCCAAAGCCACATCTTGACTGTGTGTGCAGTTCTGATATTGTGAAGAAGGACAAGATTCACAAGAAGAGAGACAATTAAATGAACTCCAACAACTGACTCTGCCCAGCCAAATAGGTTGAGAGCTAGATCCAGCACTATTCAATAAAAATAACAGATCATCATCAATGAAAAAATAGATCAATTTGTATTATTGTAATATTATTGACTTTGACTAACAGATTTTCATATGTACTGTAATCACTGTATCCTAACTGACGGCAGGTAACTCTAGCATCAGTTGCGCCAAAGCTATCATCACATACTGTACCCCACTGTCCATTACAATATACTTCCAGTCTACCATAACTTGAATAAGTACCTCCTTGTAGACGAATCTGTCCAGAATAAGGATTATTCCAGATTCTAGTACTATCTGTGAATGATATAAAAATCAGTAAGTCTTGTCACACCACTTGGTGATTCTGTTGTTGCTTACAGCATGATACATATACATCTTGAGTGTCACTGGTGCAGGTACTTGAGATGAATGTTGAAAAGCTGCATTGCTCAAGTGTCAAATAGCTAGTACTATCACAATTCACTCTGTTAAGAATTGTAGCAGCTCGATCATTTCCAAACCTATATACAAAATTAATTAATACAGAATAAACTCATGAAGGCATGTAAAGACAACATGCATTGATGCATAGAATTACATTGCTCCACCTTTACCATAGGTTGATACTCCATCATATCCTAACTGATGACAAATTACTTCAGCTCCTAGAAAGCCAAAATAGAAATCATAACAAATATTGCCCCATCTATTTGTAGTAGAGGATCTATTAAAGTAATAAATCTGAACTATTCCAGATGTATAAGATGATGAGAAGCCTCCATTTCTAACAAGACGAATTGTTCCACGAGCTAAAATTTAACCAGGAACATAAAGGATAAAAATATAGTATCTTCTTATGCTTACCTTGGCCCTGAACAGCACAGAATAAAGCCAAACAGAGAAAGAAGATACTAAGCAACTTCATAATTAGCTTGCACTGCAAGAGAAGCAGATTAGAGACTGTCTCAAAAATTGTACTTTTATAAGCTGAAGAATTTGCGTCAACCAGACTGTAATTCCTAGAAATGTTTTGATAAAACTGCTAAGTGTCATTACTATTCCAAGAAGAACTCTAACAACTGTTTATTTATAAATCAATGGTCACAGTTAACATAGCACTTAGCATAGTTCCTTTGCTTTTATTAAAGTGTGTAGTGTGTATCAGCTTATAAAGCTAGTTATTCATCCACTAGATTAATCACATGAAATTAACGTAGTGGGTGCATGATCTTGATCTAATAACAGGTACCAACACATCCATATGCACCCTCAACGATGTCGATGCCCCTGGCCCTCAGGTAGATTTCATTCAATGTATAGTTACTATTTGGACAGCATTTCTGCCTTAATAAAACCCCAGACTCATTTCCATGTGTTTGCCTGAATCTGATACTATAGGTTAACCACAGCGCTCATCATAAAATGGAAGAGAAACACGAGGACCCAACCCCCTACCAATAACCTACAAATGTCAACCTTACCAGACAAAAATAATAAACTCGATTAATAACTAAAATCTAATAAAGGCAACTCTGTTTCTACATAAAATATATTTTAATAATCAAGTTGTGTATAGTAGTTGTTTAATTTTAAAGCCATATATCAGAGGTGCAGTCTCCGCCCGGGTATCGGACCTCATGAGCCAGTGAAGGTCCGTCAGGTTCCTGTCCAAAATCAACAAAGAAGTTCTTGTTCAAAGTGAGTCCTCCTTTATCTGTATCAACATCAACCTGGAGCAACATCGAGCCATTCCTGTATATAATAAGAGTGTGGATCAGTGTATGAAGTTTGTATAGAATTGTATGGTAATTCAAAGTACATACAAACCATTATATCTTATTGAATTTGATTGATAAAAGCTTAATTGGTTTACATCTTACATGAAAATGACATACCGTATAACACTTTATTTTGGCAATTTTGCTGTAAAATTGTAATTGGCGGTTTTTAATTTGGCAATTTTTGTGTACACGTGCACTACTGAGCATGCGCATTAATGATTGGCAGTTTTAATATTGGCGATTCTGCTTGCAAACTGCCAATCACCAAAATAAAACTCCACCAAATTAAATCGTTATACAGTATTTCATTGTTTCATTAGTTGTGTGGGTGTTTGACCTCTTGGTGCACTAGTGCTAATCTATAGCAGGGGCACCATGGCCCCATTCAAAAATTTGCAGACATGCTGCTATGGGAACTACAGGTGCTGGGTCTTTTCAAAGTCTCACTTATATACTCTGCTATTTGTAAAAGCTATCGTGGGTCGCATCAAATTGTGGTTAGCACTCCTATACTTGTATAAACTGCATTATACCACGATTAGTTTTGTACGCAAGATATGAATTGAGTTTTATTTGCACTCTCCCTCTCTTAATCTCTCCCTCCCTCTCTTATTCTCTCCCTCTCTCTCTTATTCTCTCCCTCCCTCTCCTTACTTGGCTAGATTAGGGTAGAACTGTTTATCCCAAGTGCTGAACAATGATGTTGTGACATACAATCTCTTCCCATCAAGTGACAACTAAAAAGTAACAGAAGCAAACAAACATGCAACACTCCTAAATCTTAAGCTTCATTTATGATGCTAAACTTAATAAGAGTCCAGCCTTATGCTGTGTTTTATTGAACTGAGTGACATTTATTGAAGTATATTATATGTATATCTTAAATCATTACTTGCAACATTTGGGGTCCTCCTTCAATTCTGCGTCCATTCAATTCAACAGCTTCAGGCTGTTCCTTCAGTTCTTTGTCTTCAGTGACAGTCACTGGTCCACCTTTACAGACGCTTCCAGCCAAAAATATCTACACAGAAAAGAGTGTGAAAATTAGTGATTCTTGTGAACTCGTTTTGCAAACCTGTCCAACTAGTTTGGGGTTCCTTCGGTCGCTGATGTCATACTGGCGTATATCACCGTGCAGCCAGTTGCTGAAGTACACAAACTTGTCATCCAGTGATATCAAAATATCAGTGATCAAACCTTAAAATGAAAATAATAGTAAGCATAATAGTTCAATGTATTTATGAAAATGTAAAATGTGATTGAAATTATTCTTTATTATTTTTACCAGGCATTTCAGGTAGTGCCCATCCTTCAACTTTTTTATTAGGAACATCAATGACCTTCTCAGCACTCCATTTACCATCCTACAGTGCATACATGTAGTAAAAATATTTTACACTTTAATGGTGTGTTCTAAAAATTTTGAATATTCTATAAAGTACATGTACACAAGGTACATAATTGATTTTTGAGCAACTTTTAAAAATTAAAAAAAATCCAATTTTGATCGGAACCAACTCAAATTTTTAATACAACATAACAACATGTATGTGTATCAGAAAAATTATAAAAATGGCAAATTCTTTCCCTTGATTTTCCATGTACTATATATCCTATGGCTTCAAACATCACATTTTAAATGTTTTAATTCATTAGATTTATTGCACACAGCTAAAATTATAGTCTGCTCTCTCTCACATCATTTTTGTAGAAGCGGAACACGTTTGAGGAGAGAGCTATCCCAACGTAGCCCTCAGTTGCATTTGGATCGTGCAAGAACCGCAACTCAAGTGGTATGAGTCCTTCTTCCCCAAGATCAATATCCTGAATGACTTTCCTCTCCTTCCAATCCCACACATGAAGATGACGGCCATACTTCCCTAGGAAAAATGAATAATAAGTATTAATACATACATAATAATTTTAAAAATATACAGTAATATATGCTATTCAATAACATTATGGTGATCTCTATGAGTACCACTAGTGTACACGTTTTTGTCTGGAGCAGATATATACACAAGGCTGCAAAAGTCGTGGCAGCCATTTTGTTTGAGGGTGAATCCTACTTAGTAACGCTACCGCGTTACTAATTATAGCTCAGTATAATTAGGTTATAACTATATTATGGTTCATTGATGTTAGATGGTATTAATATAATAAGCTACAATGCCAAACATACTAATCAACATTCTTTTGTTAAAAAGCTTTTGTTGTGAGGATTGATTATGACTAATGACACCTCTTATGTCTTCCTTACGCTTTAGCAGTTATACTTTCATTCATCACTTTTATTTCATTTGCTAATTTGTAGTGCTACAATACCCATGCAGTTTGTACAACAGTGATTAATTAAAAGATAAAAGAATATTGTAGTCTTTATAGCAGTGCTAGGATAGAGAGAAGTGAGTGATAAAATAATACACACTAATATGAAATTAAATTTGGTCTATAGTATACCTATAGCTTACCATTCTGTACATCAGCTGGATTAAATCCCTTTAAAAAGCAGTTGGGTTCTCCCCATTCGCTGCTTAGCATTACGTTGTGACGTGGCTGATACCAGAAATCATAACCAAAAGGAACCGAAGAGTGTGACTTCTCCCAGTTACCAGCAACTTCAAATGACTCACCATCAAGAAGGACAAACCCACCTACAAGTAGAAGCATTAAGGCATTTAAGAGATCATGAGTCTACCTGCCTCTCTCTTAATTCCAGCTCTCCCTCCCTCCCTCCCTCTCTCATTCCCTTTTTTCTCTTCCCATGCTTTTCTCCTCTTTTGTACGTTTCAATATCTTTCAGTCTGCTGGCATACAATCAGGCATATATGTCTCCCTTTCAATATCTCTTGCTTCCTTTATTTCCTCCCTCTCTCTCTCTCTCCACCACTCACCTTTAGCCTTTCCTTCAGGATCCCCCATTGTGCTTATCATCACTTGCCCATTAGCCAAACAGTGAGAAGTGTGTGGTATAGCTAGTCCAGTCTTCTTAATGATATCATCAGGCTCAACAACCTATTAAGAAAGAAATGGCATAAACTAGGCTGGGAATGTATAATAGAGTAAACGGTAATAGAGTTAAGTAAAAATCAAATCAAATTTAAGTGTTGTTGCTATTCTATGGGAAATTATCAAACAAGATTATGACTAGAAACATGTCTTGATAACAGCATGGAACAACAATTAACATGACCATATTTGTGGATGTGTACAATCTCAGCTACTATAATGTTATAATACTATAAAAACATAGTACTATCATTTTTGTATATGCGTATACATGTTTTCACTAAAGCTGCTAGACCTTAGCATGTGTTTTAACAATGCAGACAATAGATGAAGTTACTCTAAAATTCCATCATAGTAAGATTAGATGATACTCATAGTTATGGTTAATTATACGGGTCATAGTACTATATTTATAGTAATGGTTAATTTTATGGGTCATAGTACTATTAGGAATACCTTGTGGATACTAGGTTCTTTTGGATTAGTACCAGTTTCAATGACATACACACGAGTGCTTGCCAGAGATGGCATTATCAGCTTGTTCCTCTTTTTTCCAGCATCACCAAAACAACTACACAATCGATAAAACAATTAATGAAACATTAAAGGCCTTTCTACACTTGCAAAGCGGTTTGAACTGGTTTAGAAGTGAAGTGCATTCAAGGCAAGCGATTCCACACTATCTTTAGGATCTTTGTATATTTTGATAGTATTTCTGATCCAGCTGGTAACTGGATCACCATTGGTTATCTATTGAATCAGCACATTCGAACTGCATATGGAGGTGGTTTGGCTTAATGGGAATTAAAATGCCTTTATCCTATAGCTTGACCTTTAAATACAGATGTCAATACAGAGGTTGAAATATCCCCTCCCAGATACTCCAATTACAATAACATTTATCATGCTGTACTAACTCTAAATTATAAAATTAGCAGAAGGTTACTACAGTTACACATGAGTTAAAACCAGATCTGCTAAATATGCAATAGCATACCTTTAAAATGCAGCATTGCTGTAACAGTAATCATACAATTGTATCATGTACAAAACACATGCTAATAGCTACCTGCTACAAGCATTCCATCCAGTGTGATGAATCTCATCTTCAGCATAAGGCATTGAGAGGCGATGAATAACCTTTAAAATTATAAAAAATAAATTTAATAATTAAGCTATTAATCGTTCACTTTTCCATAGTCTTTTGAGTCAGGATCGCAGTCAATTGTGGCAAGATAGTCACTCTTCTTGGTAGCTGTGTTAGTATAGATGCAAGGAATGTAAAGGAGCTTCTCTCTCGGGCCTTTCATGGCATCCAGCGGTGTAGCATAACCCGGTCCAGTGCAACAACCACCTATAAGAAAAGAACAATGAACTTGAGTATGGTACTACCTTCCAGCTCCAGGCTAGTGTGAGCTGCCACTGTAGCTATGCCGGGAACTCAAGGCTTTGCAAATTGCAGCAGGTACCTTTTTCATCAGCCATCCTGTCTTTCTTTATCTTTTGTACTGTTCAGCTTTGAATAGAAGGGGCTTAGAAAATAAAATTTTTTTGCAAGTCACCTCTTTATAAATGTGCATAGAATAGGCGTGGTCTAGCCCAAGATGGCGACTTGTGAATATGTATTTGTATGTGAATGGGTATTACCAGAGACAGAGTCTTATGAAGGAGGACTATGCGGATCAAAGTTTACCAACCACTCACTCTTCACCTCACACATTCAAGACCACGAGTCCACGTTCCCCTCTGCCTCCTTTGAAGAATGTCCTTGGAACGGCTGTCAATATGCACCTCTTGATAAATCATTCTATTCCTCTCATTTGCTCTTTCACGCCTACCACACCTTCTTAAAATTAAAAGGGGGAGAGTTTCAAGTGGCTAAGGGATTACCAGAGTGCCAGATGAGCAAGGACCTCATTAATACTTTTCCAGAGAGCCCCGAGGCTCGAATGACCTGTAAATGGGAGGTGTCCGAAGGGACTACGTGCGATCAGACATTTCTGAATCCACTCACGTTTTATTCACATGTAAAGGAGCACACGTTAACATCTTTCTCTTGTGATAGATACCACTGCAAATGGACTGGTAATGATCATTGTACAGTACTTGATTGTATTATGATTGTACATGTACATATCAAATACATTATATGCAATTTTTTAATAAGTTCAACAAGGTATCTTTCAACTAGAGTACTTTCATTCATACAGTAGAATCAAACCACTAATGTATAAAACACTATAATTAATGTTCACCATTAAATGCTGACTCTATATAGCTAGTTTTTAAATACTAGAAAATTGAAGAGTTGTTGTAATTATTAGCTGTGGTAGTTTTTAAACACATGTACGTGTAGAATATTATAGAATAGATTACACATTATCAAGAGTGCCATTCTGTATTTCATATTAATTTTATTTCGTCCTGTTAGGTTGTTCATCGACTGCAAAGACTCTATGGAACCTCACTGACCACACCCGTACTCACACCCACGAAAAAGTCACAGCTTGCAATGGGTGTGGTCTTTTATTCTCAAACACCACACGGCTCCGTGATCACCTTCAAAGACAGGCCACGCCCTCTTCTCAGAGCCACTTCTGCAGCATATGCAAGAAGGCGTTTTTAACCGAGAGACTCTTAAAGGAGCACATCAGAAAGCACATTAACACGATACAGTGCCCTCACTGTGCAATGACTTGTACTAGTGATTCTGCTCTCCTTAGACACATCACTTACAGACACTCAAACAGCAAACCATTCTCTTGTCCTCTTTGTCGAAAATCATTCAAAACAAAGTACTCGCTCTCCGACCATCTCTCCACTCATCGGGAGAAGTCGTTTTCGTGCTTTTCCTCTTCTTGTCATTATACTTGTAAGTCTGAGAAGTTGCTCCTCCAGCACATGAAGAATAATCACTCAGAAAGTACAGGGGAACTCTATTGTTGTCATGTTTGCGATGGAGCAAGGTTTTCTGTGGGTCTTGAGTTAACTAATCATTTGAAAACTGTCCATGGGTTTCGTCTACCTCCTGGCCACTCAAGATTTAGGTATGCATGACTGTTTACTGTTGTGCAGCTTGCTAGGGTGGCATTCTCTTATATTCCCTTGCTCTCTTTTATTTTCTCTCTCTCTCTCCTTTTTTCTCTCCAGATATGTTTTGTGTGATGATGGTCTGAAGAGATTACAGACAGTTAGACTGGATAAAGATGACATGATTTCATCTAATTCATGACTTCAATAATAATGATAATAATAAATATATTGATAATAGACGATAATAATTTAAATATCGAGTTATTTCCCGGCAAAATTGGCGCACAAACATTATGGTATTGCGCAATCCGTGTAGTGGGTGTGGTTTTGATATCTAATTTCAAAATGGTGAGTTGTACCGACCATAATTTCTACTATGATTCTACTTTTACTGTCCTGTTTTTAGGGTCAAGGACAGTCTGGTCTTCCTCCTGGTAGACGTGACAGAGATGGAAAGAAGAAAGAGGCTGTAAGCTCAAAACAATTAAATTTATTTTATATACAATCAATAATCACGACAACTCTTTTTAATTTTCTAGAAAAAGAGAAAAATTGAGCCTCCTATACCAACTCGTGTCGGAAAGAAAAAGAAGTCACGTGGACCAGAATCAACCAATAAACTACCTCAGGGTACAAGAGTTGACATTGTGTGCATGTATATGTACATGAATATTAAATAAAACAGTGACACATATTAGTGACGTCATTACTTAATTTAGTTCCTCAATAATTTTAGGATGAGTATATACATGTAATTAAAAGTTATAGTACATGTATCACGTTGCTGTACATTTATTAATGTGTTTTATTTTATTGTTAATAGTGACACCTCACACTCGATGTCGGTTGAGAATGTTAAAGTTGGAGAGGATCAAGGACTTTTTATTGATGGAGCAAGAGTTTATTCAAAATCAGGAGAGGCTAAAACCGCAAGAAGAAAAGAATCAAGTGAGAGATTGGATGTATATATATTCATTATAAAAAGGAAGAATTTTTTCTTAGTGATTTTTGGTGAAATTCGTCCAATCACCCTGTACTATAGTACAGGGACTTTGGCCTGATTTTTGAGTAAATTTACATTCCTTATTAAAGCATAAAAACCGAAAGGAATTATGCATTTTATGGTTTAAATAATTTGAAATAATGTATTACAAATGTACTATACTAACAAAAGATAATGCTAACTAGCAAAATGTAACAATAATAATTATTATTGTTATTATTATTATTATTATTATTATTATTATTATTATTTTAGGAAGAGAGGTCTAAAGTTGATGATCTTCGCGGTAGCCCAATGGCAGTGGGTACCCTAGAGGAGATCATTGATGATAATCACGCCATTGTGTCTAACAGTGTGGGGTCTGAGTATTACGTTAACATGCTCTCGTTTGTGGACAAGGACCTCATAGAGCCAGGATGCACTGTACTCCTCAATAACAAGGTAAAGGGGGAATATACTGTACTGTATTAATGATTGGAGGATTGATTTATTGGTCATTTTAAGCTACATATAAGTGTCATTGAGAATGTTCAGATTGAGACAAAAACGATGTATTTTTATCGTGGAACCAGTAATTACTGAGTCAGCTTCCCTTGTAGCTTCTTGGGATACAGATCTAGTAGCTATTTCTTTCTCTCCACCTCCTTTCTTCTATGTAAAATAAAGAAGATTGTAAATATTAAATTTAAATTTAAATAATTAAAGAATAAATTTCCTCTTCTTCTATACAGTTACATGCAGTTGTTGGTGTCCTGATGGATGATACTGATCCAATGGTCTCTGTCATGAAACTGGAGAAAGCTCCAAGTGAATCTTACGCAGACATTGGAGGCCTGGACACTCAAATACAAGAAATAAAAGTAATAATTATTATGTATGTCAACTATCTTATTTTACACGTACATAGTACATGTACCTCTTCATTATTTTACATGTACATGTACATGTACTGTTATTCTTAAATAAAAGCTTTTCCATGTAGTCTATATGCATTAAGACATGCATTTATACATTTATGCATGTACATGTATGTGCATATGTACATGTAGATGTATGTACATGTACATGCTATGTGTATTTCATTTGTATTTTCTTTATAATTAGGAAAGTGTTGAGCTACCATTGACTCATCCTGAGTATTATGAAGAGATGGGAATTAAACCACCCAAAGGAGTGATACTCTATGGAGCCCCTGGAACAGGTACTGCAGGACAATAAATAACAATATAGTGGGGGGAGAGCTTTGTGTATTAATATTAATATGTACATGTATGGGTGAAGCTACAGTGTGTATGTGTAGCTTAATTTTGAGATGTTTGCATTTTAAAAGAAGTGCCCAAAAAAGTACATTAATTGTATTAAGATTGTATCATTCACATTTAATTAATGCAAGCTTAAGTCTCAAAAATATTTATCCTTAGCTACTTGTATTTTAGATTATTTCCTACACATACATTTGTACATGTACATTGTACATGTACACTTATGGTAGCTCAATTTATTATTATTTATTTTAAGGTAAAACTCTGCTTGCAAAAGCTGTCGCTAATCAAACTTCTGCTACATTTCTTCGAGTCTGTGGGTCTGAACTCATTCAGAAGTATCTGGGGGAGGGACCTAAACTTGTTCGTGAGTTGTTTCGTGTTGCAGAAGAGCACTCGCCATCAATTGTATTCATCGATGAAATTGATGCAATCGGAACCAAAAGGTATTATACACACACAATGTACAGTACATGTACTGGAGAATGCAACCCTGTCTCTTTGTATAATCACCCCAAATTTTTATTACATTTTTTGATACATATTGATGTCCTTATGCTGTGTAGAAAGTTTGAGCTGATTCCGACTTCAATTTTTTTGAGTTATGGCCATTTTAAGAAAATGCCAAAAATCTGAAAAATACCCAAGGCTATAGCCCAGTTGAAAAGGGAACAGAGCCCTCAAAAAATTTATTATGAAAAAGGGTAGAAATAAACATGTAGGTTAAGGAAAGGAATATAAGGAAGAAAACAAAGAACAGGTTAAAGATTGGTTAAGGTAAAGAAAGATACACAAAGTGATAAGGCCATGGTTTTTTCTGAAAAATGGCTCCGAAATCACCTCAAATTTTTATTACATTTTTTGATACATATTGATGTCCTTATGCTGTATAGAAAGTTTGAGCTGATTCCGACTTCAATTTTTTGAGTTATGGCCATTTTAAGAAAATGCCAAAAATCTGAAAAATACCCAAGGCTATAGCCAATGGTTTTTTCCAAAAAATGGCTCCGAAATCACCCCAAATTTTTATTACATTTTCTGATACATATTGATGTCCTTATGCTGTATAGAAAGTTTGAGCTGATTCCGACTTCAATTTTTTGAGTTACGACCATTTGAAGAAAACGCCAAAATTCTGAAAAATACCCAAGGCTATAGCCCATGGTTTTTTCCAAAAAATGGCTTCGAAATCACCTCAAATTTTTATTACATTTTCTGATACATATTGATGTCCTTATGCTGTGTAGAAAGTTTGAGCTGATTCCGACTTCAATTTTTTGAGTTACAGCCATTTGAAGAAAACGCCAAAATTCTGGAAAATACCCAAGGCTATAGCCCATAGTTTTTTTGAAAAATGGCTCCAAAATCACCCAAAATTTTTATTACATTTTCTGATACATATTGATGTTCTTATGCTGTGTAGAAAGTTTGAGCTGATTCTGACTTCAATTTTTCAAGTCAAGGCCATTTTAATAAAATAGTTTTTCTCCATAAATGATTTTATGGTACAAAAATGGTTTTTTCCCCAAAGGAATGCCTCTAAAATGACACCCAAGTTTTGATACACATTGATGTTACATTTCTTTTCCTCTTCTTTAAGATATGAAAGTCATTCTGGTGGTGAGAGAGAGATTCAGCGAACAATGCTGGAGCTGTTGAACCAGCTTGACGGATTTGACTCAAGAGGGGATGTGAAAGTCATAATGGCTACCAATAGGATTGAGACGCTTGACCCCGCCCTCATTAGACCAGGTTATTAATTACTACACACATACAGTATACCATCTTAAGTCATCTATTAATCAAATGGACTAATGATTATAGTCAATTTAGTAGCAATGGATCTTGTAAAGGCTACACGTAAGTCTGAAATTAAAGTGAATACTACACTGTATTTGTGGCATTAAGTTATGATAGGAGGCCAGAGTACATTTGCAAAGGAACTTTACTTGCTATTCATATTTTAAGCCAGATATATTCATTTGGTACTACTTTTAATACAAACCCAATGCATCAAAATTTATATTTTGGATTATCAAAGCCACACCTATTATTTAACCACACCCATTAGGTCGTATCGATAGAAAGATTGAGTTTCCTCTACCTAACGAGAAGACAAAGAGAAGAATATTCCAGATACACACGAGCAAGATGACATTAGCTGATGATGTAGACCTTGAGGAGTATATAATGGCTAAGGATGACCTCTCTGGTGCAGACATTAAGGTAAGAATCGATTACTGTACATGTACATGTACATGTACATGTCATCTTGTAATTGCAGTAGATATAATTCTTGTTGGCTAATGATGTTATGATTATGTGTATATTAAGATTCACACCTCATCATAACATCATACGAGGAGCCCATGATTATACGTGTATGTATTTTAACAATAAGATTATAACATAATGTATTCTCTG